TGTGAACTGCCTCAACTCCAGTCCAGACTCTACAGGATGTTGCCTGGTTATGGATGTCTCTCCAAGTGGGCAGCCAGGGCCTCTCAGCCCCTGCACCATGTCCTTTAGGAACTTTCTACCAAGGTATTAGCAGAGCCCTGGGCCAACTGGCCTGTTGCTTGCAGCCTACCTTTGCCTGTGCTCTTGTGCCCTTTCCCTTCCCCCTCCAGTCACTTCCACACCAGTCCAGATCATTGGAATCCAAGCCAGGGAAGGTCTGCCAGGTGCTTTGTTTAACCCCTCATGGTAGCATATGGAATTAAGAGTCTCCCAGGGCTGAAGCGAGAGCACAGCAAGTAGGGTGTTTGCCTTGCACACGGCCGGCCCGGGTTCAATTCCCAGCATCCCATATGGTCCCCTGAGCACTGCCGGGAGTAATTCCTGACTGCAGAGCCAGGAGTAACCCCTGTGTATCGCCATGTGTGACCGAAAAAGCAAATAAAATAAAATAAAATTAGTGTTTGGGAGCTTTTTTTTTAAAAAAAAAAAAAGAAGAAGAATCTCCCTTTTCTGTAGCCCAGGATTCTGCTGGTGCTCTCCTGGGCATGCTTATTGTGAAATGAAAACAATCGGGAGAGTAAGAGTCTCTGGAGCTGCAGTTCATATGGACTGAATGTTACTCTGGGCCACGCCCTGCAATTCCACCACAGCTTTTCATCCTGACAGGATCCTCTGAAGTTCTACCTTTCATTATCACACTTTGAAGAGGGACACCTGAGTCTCAGAGAGGTCCAAAAGTGGAGGACTGGGCTTCAAGGTGACGTGAAATCGCAAGCATGATCATACACCTTCAGCTTTGTGCCCAGGCCCTTAGCTCTACCACCAGTGTGATGTGGTATAAATTAATTCCAGTGCAGCTGGGGTAAGACCTGTCCACAATCCTAATGGCTGTGATACTCTAGAGGCCTGCACACCACTGAAGCGGAAGCACCTTCAGGGAAGGGGTTGTATCTTTATCTGTTCTGTGTCCCAAGAACCCCGTCAGGTGTACGGTCCGGTCCTGGGCTTAAAGGAGACTCGATAATGTCTTGTTAATTGTGCCCAGCATGAATACAGAGCATTTTCTGCCTTAGCACCTCTGCTGAAGGACAATGTCTGAGTCTTAAAATCTATCTGTCTGCTTTCCCAGGAGACAGAGAGGGACAAAGCAGCCCACAGAACAGCCTGAGCCTTTCTCCACCCCATCCTCTCTGTTCGCAAGTCTGCAAAACTGAAATAGCTCTCTCCTCCCTGCACTGGCGTTGTAAGTGGCCAGAAAGAATTCTTCCCCACCTATTTTTTTATCCAGCATCCCAGCTGTAGGCTCCATCCCCCTCCCCTCTGCAAAGCCCCTGATCTGTAGAGTCCACGGAAAGCTGAAGGGTATTTTCCTGTCAAGCAGATGATGGAAGAACTACAAAAGACAGGTGGATTCTCCCACCTGAGTTTCCTCTCTTACTTCCCCTTCCAGACTTTCTAAATCTGGATTGTTTCCTAATTACATCATTGGTTGTTGTTCTTGGACTGTATTTTCACCTTTCCCTTAAATTCAGCGATGTCTTCAGGGTTGGTCCTAGGAACACATGAGGTACAGACTTGATTGTTTTCAGTTCCTTCACTCACACCTTCATAACAGCTAAAGGTCCATTCCCTCCAAGTCCTAGTCTCTTTCATATTTCTGCAAGGGCTTCCTCCCAGTAGCCTTCAAGAACTGAAAGTAGATGAGCTCATATTATGACCAAGGAATTTCTCACTCACCAGTTCTTAACCCAACTCCCACCAGCAATACAAAAGGGAAAGTAAGAACTAGCCTTCCAGATTCTCCCTAAAATGAGATAGATATGATCAAGGGATCAGCAATGACACTGGAATTTGGGGCAAGGTCTAGCCAACTTCGAGAAATGTTTCTCTTCTGAGGGTCTCATACCCCTGTTGCTATCGTACATTTTCTTTGATTGAAAATTACTTGATTTGGGGCTAGAGCAATAGTACAGCGGGTAGGGCATGTGCCTTGCATGCGGCCGACCAAGGTTTGGTTCCCAGCATCTCATATGGTCCCCTGAGCACTGCCAGGAGTAATTCCTAAATGCAAAGCCAGGATCGCTGGGTGTGACCCAAAAAGAAAAAAAAAAAAGAAAATTACTTGATTTTATCATAAAATGGAATGTGTCAACAAAATTTTATCATAAAATGGAATGTGTCACTCCGTGTGTGTGCCCCTGCCTACATGGCTGTGTGTGCGCGTGTGTTGGCACCTGTCTCTGAAGGACTAGATGGCACCATGCTGAACCATAACACAGTGACTCGCACTCAAGTTTTATCTAATGTCACTCCACTTGACAGTCTTGCACTTTCAAAATTAATAAAAAAGCATAAGGAAGCTGCTGCATAACCACCAACCTAAGCATCTTGGCGACCAAGCTAAATAGCTTGTCATCTGTGTTGTACATTAAGCGTTCAAGCACATATCACAGTTTGGAATTTAAATGGGGGAGGGGGGCGGAATCAATACTCCACAGGGAATCTACAGTGGCAGAGAGCTGGTTTTTCTCTCTATCAGCTGAAGCTTTCTTTGTCTGTGCCTTCCGATTACACACGCTTGTGTATTCCAGGCATCGATTTTACTTTGCTTTTGTTTAGGCCACTTAATATTCCTCCCTCTTCCAAGAAACAGAGTTTGTGGGGGAGGACAGAGAAATCCCCGGTCAATAATAAAGTCAGAGACAATTTCTCTCTGGCCTGGTTAGGACCCTTCCACTCAGCCTTTGTGGCTCAGAGGATTCATCTCCCTTTCATGGGCTCCTGAAAGTCTAGAGGGAACCTGAGTTCTCAGTGCTTTCCCTTAAGATGACTGGCACCCCTCACCCTGTCCCCCTCCAGGCACCCCCACGGTAGAGAACACAACCAGAGAGAAGAACCACCTTCAAGCTGTGAGGGGTCACGGCACAGGGATGGGAATGCTTTCATGGCATCTTAAAAATTTTACTCTAAGCTACAATAAGGAAATGCACGAACTTCTGAGTTGTGTCTTAAGAATGAGCAAATCTCTTTCACACGGCAATATAATTTCTCAGGGCTTCATAACTGGCAAATACCATTGCTTCTCTTGAATCTGAAAAAAAAATTCTTCCTTGGAGAAATAAGCTTACTTCTTCTTCCTCTTTTCCCCCATTATTCTCCTTTTTCTCATATCACCAGAAAGTATGCTGACCGAAATAAAGCATGTCTAACTCGGAGAACAAAGATTGTACCAATCTCTCAAAACTACTGCCAACACAATATTGTGTTTAAGCACAGCAATTTAAGCACAGACTAAACATATATTTTCTCTAAAGATAGCTAGAAAAGATGGTCACGTATATGTTTTACTTCCTCCAGCATAAACTGACCACAACCAGGACTCAAACATATTCATTTTTTTCTGATAAATAAAAGAAATCAAATATGGCATAATCCTTTTTCACAATTTCTCTAAAAAGCAGCAAGTTCCTCCCTAGAGTATCTTGATACCAAAACATCCCATGCATGATCCCTGTGGCCAGAGTCAGATGTCACAGTTAGGCAGCCAAATGTTAAAATGGCAATGAATATATGGGATGTTCCTGAAACAGGAAATGCTAGCAGGCCTGGGAGTTTAGGAGTCCCAAGATAAAATACACAGATGAGCCAATCTGCAGGACAGGAAAGTGCATTTGTCAACAGCAACTCTGCCTAGGAGTGACTTTGGATAGGGACCCCCACCCTAGCCCCCAGAATGAAAGGTGCTGACATAATCTTACAGAAGGTGTGTGTTTGGGGGAGGGGGGGCTTGGTGGGGGAGGAGCGTCTCAGTATCCACATCTAACCAACGCTGCTCGAACTGAACTGCTCTAAACGGAAATTTCCTCTCTTCCCCTTTGCTTTTTGAACACTTTGTTTTTAATGAACAGTTGGGATCAGAGCGAGGTCCAAAGCCAGTGACATTCGGGATTTCCTAATGCAGAGACCTGGCAGGGCTGTGCTGTGTTCTGCCAAAAACCAAACAGAAATGAGACTACCTCGCAATGTAACAACTGAGCAGAGCTAGCTCGCAGTGTTTTCACTTAGTGGGAGCAAATGTTTTGCTTTAATGCCACTGAAGAGAGAAGAACATTTAGGGACTACATAGCTAGATCCCTCATAAAGCTTCATTTTCAAAAGCAGTGCTTGAATCTCTAAATAAATGACAATTCATTCTCTGTTTACTTTAGGTAAACAGAAAATGCATTGCGGAGCACTCATTTTCAAAAGCTAATCAAGAACATTAGGTCCCAACAGATTCATTTAATAGAAATATAATAGGCATTCCTGCTTGCTTTTCATCTTGTCTCGCTGCAAATGCAAAAATGAACAGCAGATTAACCCTGTGCTGGAACAGAGTCCCTGTCACAGCTGATATCCACTCTCACGACTTGTAAACATCGCCGCATCCTGTCGCTGCTTTGACTTCTACATAGGAGAGATGAAAGTGCCTGATTGAGTTTGGCAAAAGAGTGTAGGAATAGTCGAATTCTAAAGGGAGTACTGTGTGTCAACTCTGCTATCTTTCCTAGCAGAACAAAATATTACCACTCTGTCTCTTAAAATAGTCCACAACTGGGAAGCAGGAGGAGGGCTGGGTCGGAGGGACTATTTCTTTTATCCCCCAAGCTACATATATCAACTGTCTTTCTCTATATTTTTAACTTTATTAGCCATTTACCAAATGGCTGCTTAGAAACTACTATACAAAACAAGCTTATAAAGACAGGGCCATCCCAGCTCTATAATCAGATATAAAAGATTTGCAAACAATTTGAGATCTTATAATTAATATTCAGTGATATCAGAATTAGCATTTAGAACTCTATACAAAAGAACTATAATACTTCATAAATTATGTAATAATGAACAAACCCTTTCAAAAACTGTTTTCGCTGTGCTAAAGTAACATTCTAGACTTGTTGTAAGTATGTTATTCTTACAAGTAGTTCGCAGTTATTCTTGAAGGCAAGCCTTGGAGTTTCCTTAGCATAGTGCTGCTGGGGAAAATTTTCAGCATGTCCATCTTCATCTCTAGCCTGAAGGGAAATATAATGGCCTATTTAGGGACTTACAAATAATGGAAGGAAAAAAAGCTAAAAGCATAACAGCTCAGATCATTAAACAAACGGGAATCCAGAAATAACAACATTATTAAGAAGTTTGTTTAAATACGCAGTATGCCTTTTAGATATAAAATTTGGGATTTATTTTTCTTCACATAGTTTAGTTTGAACATGCAAATTCACTGTGGTGGGATATTTAAAGCAAAATGAAACAAACCAAGACCAAATAATGTTGTTGGAAATCACCACCACTTTAGTCTTCCAGGGACTTTAGTTGCACACTCAGGATTAAATGACATACAGACGTGTTTAAACTTTTTGGCATGCTTAAGCAATCTCTAGATAATGCACTTAAAAAAAATTCTAATAGCAAGGCCATAAGAAAAGCAATTTGCATTGTTATATTTTGCATTGTAATACTATTAGAGAGAAACTGATTCCCCTTGATTTTTTAAATAAAGATCTGAAAGGAGCAATGATCTAGTAAGAACAATGATTCTTCAATCAAGTGCAGTAAAAAAAAAGAGATTTAATTAAGAAGCTGCATTAAAAGTTACTGGTTATTTTGATCTACACTGTTAATTAAGAGAGCTGAAGTTTAAATGGAGACATTAACAGAACCCATTAGCAACACCGCTTGCATATAGTCTTGTCTTTCTAATCTCCATCGGTTTGGGCTTTGGCGTTGGAGAGAAGGGAGAGGTGGGTGAAGGAGGCGTGTCTGCGGCACACTCATTAAACCATTCATTTGGGTGACACTTGCACTCCGCTCTGCTCTCATCTCATCTTAGCCCTAACTGCTCTCTCTCTCCTGGCCTCCTAAAATTCACAGCTGAGCTGTCTCCCTCACATATGGCTTGCATATAATTATGCATATTCCATTTTGCACTGCATTAAAATGATGAGCTCCTGGCTCCCTGCCAGTTGATTTTAAAAAGCCCAAGTGAGGGGGGGGGAGGTGGGGGGGAGAGGAGAGAAGCACAGGGAGAGCAGCACAGGAAGCAGCAGGTAGTTCTGTCTGCTGTCTCTTTAGATAAAATGTATGTCTGGCACCAAGGGAACAGCTGAGAACTACCTGTTGTGATGTTATGGATAGAGGGGGAGAAAACAATGCATATTCGTCTGTGCATAATGCTGACAGTGCTGATGTATAGTTTCTCCTCTAATGCCATGAAATGTGCCCGCTGACAGTTGTCACTCAGAGCTCCCTGGCTAGACTCAGAGGGATTGCCATTTTAGGGAGGAATCCGTATTCTGTCCACTTTGGAATGTATATCTGGTTTTTTAAGAAGGGCTCTAGCGACGTGTTGCCGGGGAGCAAATGAAGTCATGACAGTAATATTTGGGTTATAAGAAGTTTACGGAGGAAGACATGGCGCTGTTTGGGGTTTCATTCTGAAATGTATTAACACCTAAAAGATTTGGTGTCTTTGAATGTACTTTTTTTCCCACTATCAAATCAGAGTTGTCCTCCCGTTGTTCATCGATTCGCTCGAGCAGGCCCAGTAACGTCTCCATTTTGAGACTTGTTGTTACTGTGTTTGGCATATTGAATACGTCATGGGTAGCTTGCCAGGCTTTACTGAGCGGGCGAGAGACTCTCGGTAGCTTGCCGGGCTCTCCAAGAGCCTGAGAGGGGCAGAGGAATCAAATCCAGCTCAGCCGGACTGGCTGTGTGCATGGCAAATGCCCTGCCGTTGTGCTATCACTCCAGCATCAAATCAAAGTAAAGTAAAATTTCAGTTCTAGAATTGGACTCTCTGTAACAGAGAGGGGGAAGAAATAAGCATACTTATTTCCATGCCCAGTGACTAGCAAAGTCCTGAAATGAGTGACGTTTCTTCTAGTGAATCAGTTCAGATCCACCAGAATGCAGCTGTCAGTGGGCCCTGTGCTTAACACGGAGTGTAGGATCAGAAGCAACTGTGGGAAAGTGGTAGCCTGCCAATGGGTGGTGATGATGATAGGGATATCATAACTGAACTTTAAACCACTCTGCAATGTCCAGGTTACTTGGGGGAGGGGGGTGGGGAGTGGAGGGAGTAGAGGGCTTGGAAAACAACCAAAGATGGTTAGGGCTTAATCCTGGTAGTAGTGAAGGGGTCAAATGTGGTACCCAGACGGAAACAGGGTCAGCTGCAACACAAGGCCAGTGCCTTGCCCTCACACTGTCTCTCCGGCCCAGTAAAGGTTTCTTAAGGGCAAGATACCTATTTCATCCTTCTTACTCTTCCATGCCCAGTGCCATACTTCGAGTTGGTACTTAAAGATTTAATGAAGGGGAAAATAACTCAAAAAAACAAAAAACACCCAAGATGGATAGTGACTACACCCTACCATAAACAACACTGTACAAATGCCACCTCTAAATGTGCTAAACTTAGTGGTGGGTTTATTACATTCCTGATGCACTATGATACATATGCTTGGAAACATTTTGCATATAGTTTACAAGGGCTACTATTTACATATGTGTGTCTATATTCAATATATATGTATCTTGTGTATAAATATTCATAAGGTGGATTGTGTTTATTATGCATGTACTATGTGTACACATCCATACACACCAGATGCCTGAGGAAATTTTCAACATTAGTGGCAAAAATGCATCCATTCCACTTACATGTAAGGTGCTCATAAGGCTTTTTTATGTTTTTACAGGACAAAAAGGAAAAAAAATAAAAACAGCTTTATGACTTCAAGGGAGCTATAGATTTTATGGAAAGCCTCAAAATTTATGAGGTTAAATAAAGCAGCAATGTAAGAGAAGGGAGAGAGCGACTGAGGTGATTGTTAGGAAAGAAAAAGAGCCAGAAACTTCCTGTGCCATAGAGATTTGCCTCTGCATCAAACTCACATGGCCCTGGCCACGGTCTACCTGTGGCACAGTCCAGAGTCCGGGGAAGTCCATGCTTCGGTCCAGTGCTGCGCTTCCCCAGGGACCAGTGGTGGACAATTCACAGAGCAGAAAGACCAGGAGCTCCTCATCTCAGCGCAGACTTCCTCTGCATTCTGAGGATTTCTCTGTGAATTTTGAAATTCTGATGCCCAGAGTAAGTAAAATTAACTGCATGTACCCAGGGCCGTAGTTCTTGACTCTGATTGGTTGCCTCACTGAATGGCAAGCAATGCTCTATGAAAGTGCCTACAGGATCAAGAGGTTATTACTAGCAGTCATGGTAATAATACTGCTGCAGGCTCCCTAAGGCCACGGAGGTGTGGATTCTCATCACTGCAGCTCTGGCGAGTGTGCGGCTGTGCAGGCATGGACTCAGCATCAGCAGAGAAGTTTGACAGTGTTAAACGAAAGCCTCAGCAGCACTTCCACACTGGATGTGGCACCTTATGTTACAACATTTCATTACCTCATTGACTCAAGCCAGTGTTGGATTCTGTGCTCCTGTCCTGTAGCCCCATTTCTCAGGATGAGACTAGATTCCTTCTGCCTGCAGACGGGTGTTCAAACCCTGAATCACCACCAATCATGGCAATGACAAAAAGGAGACCAACTTGAAGTTGTTATTGTTATCTACTGCTCTCGTTGATCTACACATGAAGCATTCTCCAGCTGTCTGTGCTAGGCAAACGCACTGAGGGCGCTTGGTATCTCCCTAGGGGAGGAGGGGTGGGGAATAGAGGGGCAGAGTCTTCCTTTGCAGCCCACCTCTGCTCTGCAGCAACTGGGTCTGAAGATATACCATGATAAATGGACTCTCCATGATCTACTCCCAACAGCTTTATGATGACTCATATGCTGGATATTTATGACAACTATGGGACAAAGAACATGGGAAACTAGGGGTTTGACATCCCTTTTGCATTTTATTACAAAAGTGATTGTCAGGCCAAGGGCACTTTGGGGGCCTGATAGAGTGGCAAGATGGGGCACCTTGGGGATACTTAGAGCTTACTCATGGTTTTGTGCTCAGGAGAGACCATATGTGGTGCTAGGGATTTGAACTTGTGGATTCCACATGTAAGCAAAGCACCTTAACTCCTGTACTTTTCCTCCATAGTGGTGTATTTTTGATCTATTATTCTAAGAAAAACTCACTGCTTGCCATAAAATAGAAATCAAAGTAGTAAAAATCTGTCCACTAAATTGCAGGGGGGTGTCTACTCAGTTTGCTTCCATGCCTCCCTCTGTGTTCATGCTGTGACTAGCATTTGGATCAATATCAGATTGTGCCAGAAACTTAGACTAATTGCCTCTCCACTCAAACACTTCTGACTTGCACAAACCTTGTATTCTCCTCCCACTTCCTGTGAATCACCAATCCTAACTCACTTTTTATTTTGATTCTTACATCCAGCAAACTTTAGTTCTCTTTCAAAGAATTAGTTTCTTCCTCTGGGTCAAAGTTTTGCTGCCCTCTCTGTGCATAGCTAAACAAAAAGAGCATTTGCCTTTTCCATTCCAGAAACAGCACAACAGCTCAACCCCAAAAAAGTGAAGTATTTCTGGCCCGAAAGAAAGGTTCACTCCATTGCCATGTAAGTGGAAACAGACCAGAGTTCATCTCTCCTTGCCGTGCACCACGGCCTGCAGCATAGTCTCAGAAGGTTGCAGAATCCTCTGAAAACCATAATAAAGGTTCTGTGTGGAACTGAGGTGGGGAGAGCACAGCCATGTTCCAGGTTCAGCTCTCCAATACCACACTAGATGCCATACACATCTGAGAATGCAGGTTCCAGACTCAGGAACACTGAACATACTGTGTCCCGAAGTTGAGTGTGCGTGTGTGTGTTTTGGGGGGTGGTGGGGAAGCATGTTCACTATTAATTGGAGAGGAAAAATGTCAGCTTTTACAACTAATTTGGGGGATAATAGAATCTCTTTTCAAAATTCAAGATAAAAGGAGAGGAATTCTGAGGCCAAAGATAGTACAGGGTCAAGACACTTGTCCTGCATGCAGTTGATTTCAGTTCAATCCCCAGTACCACATATGGTCCCGCAAGTGCCACCAGAA